TCAATACAGTGATAGCTAGCACCCACTGCCAAAATTCTTTGATGAAGTTTCTTCTCACTTGGATGAATGAAATCTTGTACTTCTAAGATGTCAGACAATCCCTATAACAATAAAAGTTTACTTAACGTACACACGACATACACATTTCTTATTAATGTCTGTAATGTGTAGGTGAGGGTTCTGAAATTTATTAAGAGCAATTAAGGAATAATTAACTAACATCAACGTCGTATGTCCCAAATACGTTTACAGGGCAATTCAATAAATAAAGTAATGTTTCGTGTATCATACTTTCCAAGATAAATTCTATTTAACTTATATAAAAGATAAATATAAATTTATTTGAATTTCACTGTCACAAGTGTCAGTGGCATTAACGGTACCACTTATATATTTATTTAACCTATGGTAGGTGTCGACCATGGGTGTGTTCCGAAATATAACCCAGCATACTAGCCAGTGCCGAATGAACGTCATGAATCGACGCAACATTGTACTGGTGAGAGAGACGTAGTAGTCTATCAAATGGGAATGTGTGCATCAGACTTTGAGGAATTTGTTATTATAAGAAACTATTAATTTTGCAGCAAAATTGTTGCAAACGACCACAAACACTATTCTCAATATGGCGTTAATTTGACGTCAACGCACTGGCAGAGAAGGCACTGGCAGAGGCACTGGCTAGTATATTTCGAAATAAATCAACAGTATGGCGTCGATTCATGACGTCATTAGCACTATTTCGGAACACACCTTATATATAACAGATATATAGGAGGTCACACAGACATATATTATTGGACGTGCCTTAGCCGTATGTCATTGTAATAATTTCTTGGATCGAAAAGTGAGGAAGATGGCGTATGGCTTCGGACTAGTGCTATCTCTTTTATGACACGCTTACGCATTATCGTGAGAGAGATGGATATTGTCCGAAACTTCGTTCCATCTCTTTCTTTTATTGTACCACAATTCTGACCGCTAAGGCATGTCCATTAGTAAACGTCGATGGGAGGTCAAATCTGCGGCTGTCAGTGATGGTCATAGATGTGAGAATAGAATCCATAAACAACAACCACTGACCACTTGTCATCTTCACTGATGATGACCTTCGAGCTGGCGAATGGACCACAACGCCGGGCGCTAAGTACATAATAATGATACGAGTGGAGTTACTGTATGTAGCGAGTCTTATTGGTTAAGATTTCCCGCGCGCGCCCATTTTAACACCTCACGCACACACGCGAATTATTTTTATATTATTATTGTTAATTAATAAATGTTTTTGTGGATATCGATGGTTTTAGTACTCCCGTTACACCTATCGTCCACAAATCCATAGTAATCGCAGTGCTCTCTACTATTTTATAAAACTTTCTAGTGTTTCACTATAGAGATATTCACATATCATAATATTGTCTATGGTATTAATATAATCCTATAAATAATGAAAGTTTCTTTTCTATGATGAAAGTTCGTGTGATGTTTGGCAAATAAATAATAAATAAAAATCTCTTTAAGGGGACTAGAGAGGCGATATAAAATGAAGTAAATAGCGAATTAAAAGGGAGCTAAAAGAAATGAATTTATTAGAAAAATGTCATCAGAGAATGGTATTTTATTATTATTTACAATAACTATCTTTATTATGAAGTCAATTTCCTATGTAGAAGTGCATGGATTATCTTTCAAACTGTTTTCAGCAGAAACAATGAATTGCTGAAACAGTTCACCTCTTCCTAAACAGAAATAGTCACGAACTAATTGCAAATGTTCCAGCAAATTGGCTTCTTCTACCATGATGTTCCACAAATACTGAAATCGTAAATACATTTTATCTATTTGTGAATAACCAATATTATTAACTAAAATCAATTGTTTAATAAATATTAAAAATGTAAACAGGAAAAAAAGTCACTTTGGCTAAAGTCAACCGGCATTCTTCAATTGTTGCTTCAAATTCCGTTATATTAATTGCACTTTTCTCCAATTTCTGTAATTTTTGATAATACACAACATCTTTTCCTTCCCACACGTCCCTTGTGTATCTGAGGTTTAGTTTATCTTTGGTTTTCTCTTTTGGTCCATTGCTAATTATCCAAACAATCTGTCCTATGAATAATATTACTTCAGCAAGATGTTTAGAATTGTCAAAAGGAAATAACTCTTCTCTTAAAAAAAAACGGCGGATTGGAGGAGGTCTCTTCAGTTTGCTACTTTTCTACAATTTTACATTCATTTTTTTTTTTAATAAATAACTAAAACGTACCAGAGCATCAAAAGCAGCATCACTAAATTTAGTTACTTCCTGATGTGAAGGATCTTCATTAATAAAATTTTCATCTACATCTTTTCCATCACAAATAAAAAATTCATCATTTATATCTAGCAGATCTCCATAAATAATCCAGTTACAGAGTTGACGAAAAAATATTACATTCACAAACTGAATTATCCTACAAAGGAGTGCAGTGATTGTACATTACAAATAATACAAACTTTTACTTCATATCTGCCTCTTACCTGGTAGCAGCTTTGTTTACAGATTCAGTACCACTTTCCAAATATCTTTGTAATTTCCCAATGATTTGACAACCTCTGATACTATCAGACTGGATCATATAAACCATTGACTTCAAAGCATCAAATAATGTTACATACTTTTCTACACAACCAAGAATATATGTTAAATTTATACTGCAATTTTTAAGGAACAACTCCTCCAGTTTTACAATATCTCTTCTATACTCTTCCAAGCATTTATCTACACCTTGACAAAAAGCTTTTACATACAGCCCAGGCGTAGCACACTTTGTTGCAATCTTATCTTCAAATTTAATTACTGAATCTAAAACACATAGTTTCTATAACTTTTCAATATAACTAAAACTTGTATCTTTATTATTAATGCAATCAAACTCAAAAAATAAACCTTTTTCAATATTTGTCTGAAGATTAATGATATTTTGGTCTGTTACAGATTTGATAAAATTTTCAATACAGTGATAGCTAGCACCCACTGCCAAAATTCTTTGATGAAGTTTCTTCTCACTTGGATGAATGAAATCTTGTACTTCTAAGATGT